ATTCAGTATACTTTTTGGATAGATTTTTTGTTAATGCTAGGTCTTGCCACAGCACTAGCATAACGCCATTAAACGTGTATATCATTTAACTTTAAGATAGGAAACAACTTAATGAGCCTATTATATATTTGTGTGTGTGTGTATGTACCGAGATTTTTACAATAGTACTAACATAAAACTTAAGTCTGTGAAGCTTAAGACAAGACTTAAATTTTAGCCACATAAAAAACTATATTTAGTATTAGTACTATTACTATTAGTACTACTAACTAAACAAACTTTTGTTTAGCTTTGAACCAAGAGCATAAACTCAGCAACCTATTTATTGTTTCTATAACAACAAAATTAAATAAAAAAGAAAGCAATCACCTCTGAAACTTCGTCGTCTTCACTATCAGACAAGTCTGCCATGAAATTTGAGTTCAGAGAAGAAAATTGCCCCCTTTCGCTGCTCAAGTTTCCACTCAATGGTGACGACGAGTCTGAATGAATTTTCCCAACTTCCTTGATTTCGTCTTTAATCTCATTGCATATATTACTTTGAGCTACATTCTGCATCTTTTGTTCTGATATGATAGTATGCGAGATTTTTGGAATCTGAAATATGTATAATATAAGACAAAAAAACTAACTGCTAAGTTTTATATAATATTTTTCACTTCTGTTGCCCTCGCCATCAGCCCTACTATATTGTATAATTTGTAATGGTTACAGTTTGAGTCCCGGATGAAATCCTCAAAGGTGTAAGAAAGCATTGGGTTAAAATGATTACTTACACGAGGACATTTGAACGATAAATCACAAACGAAATATTATGAGTTCAGGCAAGTTATTCCATGAATATTTGATTCTGTTACATTTTATGTCTAGGTGAATCTAAATATAAAATGGTTAACAGTACAGAAAATGTATATAGGTTATTCCGCTGAAATACTGAATAAACCTCACTGAATATATATATTTATATGTCCCGTGGGCAATAGAACATTTTAAACAAAAAGAGATATGAGTTATTAAGTTTCATATTATTAGATAATCGCGAATAAAGTCTCCGTTATTGATTTAGCAGTTTCACTCAAATTAAGTAATCAGACACCGACTTTTTTCTTTCATATTAAACTCTGTATAACTATATTTATAAGAAAACAGAAGTTCCAGTAATACACATGTAGAATGAGACCGTAGTACTTTCTTAAATAATGTGAAAAAAATTAATTACTGTGTTTTTCAAGATTCTCTGTTTGGGCGCAGTGAAATGCTCAGATACGTTAACACTAGAGTGCCCACTTGTCACCTGATCTTGTAACAATAAGAAGAATCCATCGCCATTACCAAAACGAGTAAGTGTCAAAAAACATCTGCTTCACTGCCTAAAGTTGGTCATTTGCAAAAGAAGAAAAAATAAAACAAGAGAACTGCGCTTGATATACCTGTTCAAATCGTCCAAAGAAAGGGAAATCCGCCTCTTTTCACGAATGAGTATATATTTTTTTTCACCAATGTACCAATAATAAAGTCATTAAGGACAAAAATTACGAATGCTTTGACACAGTTACTTTGCACTGTCACTGACATTGTACATTGACTCGTTGTGTACCTAGTAAGAGGACCTACATGAGAAGGCTAGTCAGAGATATGTTCTCAGGAGAAAAAATAACGAGTTCACGTGCCTTATGCTCCTAAAAAGGGCCCTCAAAAACTTTCAAAAAGAGTGTTTGGAGTGCTCAAAATGGTTGTGCTATCTAGGATCTCTGAACTTAAATGTTATCTGACCTGTCATGTTATCTGACCTTAATAATGAGGACCTAACTCAAATTAAACAATATGTCAAACTTGTTCTTACTGTTACGTCTCCGATTGTTAATTAACTTTACGTAACTTCGTTTCCGACGAAACTTTAGCGACACAAGTCCTTACTTAATAAAACTGGTTTATTCTTTCCGAATACAACTTTACGATACACTTAATTTCAATATTTGCGCTAAAACAAACACTATAACGAACGTACGTTAACTTCAACAATACCCTGTGACTGCAGTTCAATTACTCACTATCTACACACACACATTATTATCCCGTCACGTTGTCACCCTCGTTTATATACCAGCCTACCCTATATCTAGTAAATACTAGAGCATTCGCCAAGGTACAGGATAGTTCTAGAAAATAGGTGGCGCCACACCAGTCACGTGACCTCGATGACGCAACATTACGTTTGATACTATTGTTGCGTATCTGCTTGTTTAATAATTTCCTGTAAAAATTCTTTCCGAGTGACTTCAGCGATACAAGTCTCTTCTTGATTAAAACTAGTTTATTCTTTCTCGATACAAACTTTGTAATACACTAAATAACTTTTATAACACACGCTATAAATCACAGTGATTCACACACTTTACTTACTGTGCCTACTGTACACTTGACTCAATTATCTATCTATCTATCTCTTCGATCTATCTGCCTATTTCGCTGGCTTTCTTTGCCAGGCTTATATACTAAAAAAAGAGGGCGTCTAGCAAATACTTGGAGATTTGCGGGGTTCCCCGATAATTCTAGAAACTCCAGCGCGCATGCTCCCAACGTCACGCGACTTCCGCTGTCGCAACACTGCCCCTTCCTTAGTATTGTACGTCCTGAACAATAGCCACTTAAATTAAACCAATAGATAATTAACAATAACTTGATTAAATGTACAGAATTTACAAACACTACAAACACAAAATTGAATTAAACAAAGTCTCTTAATTTTACGGGACGTATGTTCTTCCGCACTAGTCTCTGTCTCGTTGGCTTCTGCTTCACGTGAAGTTCATCTGCTCCATCAGGAATTGTCCTATTATCGGTAACAGTCACATCAGTGGTGGTAACTTCATTAACGGCTTCGCCGTGTCGCTTCTCTGAACCCAGTAGAGTTTCTTCTTCGACAGTAGCTTTTTCAGGTGGCACGTCTTCAGCAGAATAATT